CGACGTGACCAAACAGTGATACATTTATTTTTTATATTAACATTTGTTCTGCCGAATAATATAATCATCACTACTTGATGTAAATATAAGTCATGGACATTGAACGTGGCTACTTGAACCTGTGTCTTCAAGGTAGATGTAGGTTCTTTTACGTTCACCTTCACTTACACTTGCTCCTTTGACGAACTCGTCGAACGATGTAAATCTCGTTGTTCTCACTTGAACTTCATTCACTGTTTGTAAAAAATTCGGATTTTGCAAGGGATATTTCTATGGTTCACTGAACAATACAATTACCTCTAGTAGTGTTTGTTTTACAGTTGCGCAGCTGCACTAGAAATAAATTAAATTTCCGCGCGCGTCCCAGAGACGTCATTGCCGACTAGGAAGAAACACACGACGTCTCGAAGAAGTTAATGATTCCTCTACAAGAGAGAATGGTCGTTCGTCGATCAGCCAGCGAACGAATGCTATCGTCGATCGGCGAAAATTACTTATTTCCTCGGGTTGAAATTGCGTCGCACGAGAGAGAAACGAGGCAAATCGAGCGGACGTTATTGGACAATATTGGTCAAAGAGAAGTTTTCGACAACGTTGCGGTTGTTTGCGCTCGGTCACGGTTAACTACTGGTTAATTGCCTTATTGCTCTCGCGGCTTCGCCGGCCGGAACGATCGCGATACTCGAGAATAATGAAAGGATCCTCTCCTTCCCTCGAATGGAATAAAGTTCGAGTTACGATTGAATCGCGTTAAACGGCGAGATTCGCTTCGTTAACTGGTTCGTCGCTATCCCCAATGGATCTTGGAAGTTTAGCTGTATAACTGCGTCAGCCACTGAAAGTCTGCAACTACATCGTTGATTGCTTGTACTCGTAAATTGCAATTTTTTTCGAATGTTCGATGACTGAGTTCTCAGTGTCTCTTTGTATAATTTCGTACCTTTTAGCACCGTGTGATGCACGAAAAATCTAAAAATACATGCAATAGATGTTGGGACACTAAATATTTAAAATGTTAGGATTTCGTGGAACGATCATGAACGTGGGCTCATTTTAAAACTTGAAATGTCTACTTCCAAGATGTTCTTTTATTTTATTTCAAGATATTTCTACATCACGTAACAAATGAAAAACTGAGAACATTTTACTTGCGTTCTGCTTGAAATTGGCTCTCTTGGCTAATATTTAAAATACCCGAAGTCGTATTAGAATAAATTCCGCAGTGTAAATTGAATTTTAATTTTAATTTTGACTTACATCACCCTATGCCACTTTTAATTCCATTAATTTTAATACACACCGATTGAATTGAATTCGCGTTAAATTAAAATTTCAACAGTGAATATCTATCTAAATTTCATAATTCGTCTTAATAGCGAACAAAGTAATACGATGCTCACTTAGCGGTACTCGATTCCATCAGTGTGCTAGTCATTTAATTCATTAAAACGCGGCGCGGTGACGCGCGACTCGAAACGCCTGCTCATCTCACAGATGGAAACGCGGCAAATGAGATTCCCACTGGGGAGACGGGCCACATTTACAAGACTTTTAATTACTCCCGCGAGCTGAGCTTTGTCCATTTCATTTGCTGATTATGCATGTAGTCGCTTGGCGAGCCCTCGAATAAGCCGAGCTTATGATGGATATGTTGATCGAAGATGAATGATCAAATGCAAGATTTTTTAACGCATTCACAATCGGCAACAACCATGGTCTTATGTCGTTTTAAAATCTCTATCGGCATTCGGCGGCAATGTGATCCTATGTTATTGCAAAATTTGTAGCTGATTGCAGCTAATGGAATTCTACAGTATTTTTTTTTTCATATCTTGAGGTACTAGATCTCATGCAAAATTCTATATATGTACGAAATGTAATATTTTTAAAAATATGGCTCATGACATTTTTCTTGTAT